GCCGGAAGGTCCGCGCCGCATTTTCGCGCCCTGCCCTCGCTTACCGAGGGCGCGAAAATGGCGGCGCTATGGAAAAACATCGCTTAACGGTGAGTTTTAAAGCCATAGGAACAAAGTTCAATGCGTTTCTATGGCTTTTTTATTCCCGTTTAGCGATGTTTTCGCATAGCGAAGGTTAATCCAGAACGGATTAACCTTGCTATGCGAGGCACCACTGTAGTTTGGTAAAGTCAGTCAGGGTAATAAAATTCCATAAAACAACCCCCTTCTTTCCAGTTAATAACATCATATATCTTTAATATAAGTAAAACTTCAGCCATATCCATCGAAAATCACCTACCCAAACATTTGATTACGAATGACCATTGCTGCCGCACAGAATTTGGCCACTTGTCTCATAATATAAGGGGTATTTGGAATCAACTTTGTGATTTTTATTTATAACCTGGATTTATTTTTAAACAGAGATTTAAAAAAGACATTTAAAACGTCTTCAAATCCTGTTTAACAGAAATGCTATACCTCCAGTTGCTAATGCTGAAGGCAATTCACAACTTTTTACCATCATCATGCACAATATGGAAAAAAATAAACCAACATTATGTAAGAGGCATAGATTTTGTTCGTAATACACCAAACAATTAAGGGTCATTAACACCAATTATTTTGAAAAGCTTAATCAAGACTAGTTCTGTTTGGTTTATGGCCTATCAACTGAATATTTGAACATTTTCCAAGTGGCAATGCTTCCATTTTCTGGCTAATGTTTAACTATATTCATTCCCTATTGCTAAAGCAAATTAGCAGAAATAAATGCTCTAGGTATGTATTTATTTGTGTCACAGGAAATCTATTAAAAGTAGAACGTTTTATTGCCCACAAGTCAATACCATCAACAGCTTTTACATAATATGCAGGACTTGAAAAATTTTAGAATGTCTCACCAGTCAGTCAAAACTTTCACCAGTCAACATGACTGGACTATAGCCTTGCAATATATATTTAAACTTAAATTTAAATTTAAACTAGGCACTTTCTACATAACAATGTGTACAAACCCAAAATAAATATACCCCCACACTTGGGTTGCTTTATTACCTGCATGCCTGTGGGGTCATGAAGCTTGTATTTTGAACGCCTTTCTTTTGAATGTATCCACCAAAAATAAATCTGAAAGCAAAAACGCCCGGCCTCTTAGGGAGCCAGGTCATGTGGTTGAAATTGGGAGCAGGGAATCGCCATATTCTCCAGCGTGGGACTACTCTACATTCTCCTGCAGAGCTATATATCTATGTGCAGCTCAAACTCTCTTCTTGCAAGAAGAGAGCTGTTTTTCCTTTTGCAATGGGAAGGGGGAGGGGAGGACTGCAGGATCAAAGAGAGAGAAAGAGAGAGAGAGAGAATGGACTGAGGGGAAGGAGGGAAGGAGGGAGGGAGCTGTGGCTCCTCAAGCAACGTTTTTTCACTCGTCACAGACGAGTGGATTTTTCAGGCCCTTATGATATGCATATATCAGATATAAAATACAGTTGCTACTGAATAGTAGAATATACTATAGATATGCACAGCTTATGCTACCAACTTATAAATAAGCAACAGTAGGGATACAGTTAAACAACAATACAAAGCAAATAACACGAAGTGAGAAAAGGAGATTTAATGAGTCCAAAACTGATTATAACTGTAATAGAGGATATCCTCAAAAAATCTTGATTTGGACTAGGTATGTTTAGCTTAACGAAGAGAAGACTGAGGGGAGACATGATAGCAGTCTTCCAATATCTGAAGGGTTGCCACAGGGAAGAGGGCTTTGATTTATTCTCCACTGCACCTGAGGGTAGGACAAGAACCAATGGGTGGAAACTCATCAGAGGGAAATAAGGAGGAATTTCCTGACGGTGAAAACCATTAAGTAGTGGAACAGCTTGCCTCCTGATATTGTGGGTGCCACATCGCTGGAGGTTTTCAAGAAAAGATTGGACAGCCATCTGTCCGGGATGGTATGAGGTCTCCTTCTTGGGCAGGGGGTTAGACTAGAAGACCTCCAAGGTCCCTTCCAACCCTACAACAATTCTGTGATAAGGAAACTAATATTAATAGAAGATTAATCAAACGCCTTAGATATGCCAATTATGTAGCAGTTACAGCAGATAACTTTGATGACTCACAAAGGACACTGGAAGAACTGAAAACTGAATCAGAGAACGTTGGTTGAAAGCAACATGAATAAAAATAAAATAATGTTAAATAAGGATGAAAATAGAAATACTGTCATTAATGGCTACTATATAGAATATGAACAATAATACATTCATCTGGGGCAAGCAATAAAATATGGAAAATCTAATCAGAGAGCAGGAAACAAGGGGTGAGTAAGACTTGTAAGGTCAGCTTTTGATAAACAAGAGAAAATTCTTAAAAAAAACCTTTAAAATTTGTATCAATTTATAATCAATGGCTGAAATCCAGTAGTAAGTTGCAAGTAGAGTAGGCCCATTCAGTCAGGAGTTGGTAAGCCAACTCCTCTGTAAGTTACATTGATTCAGTGATCCTAGTTTAGATGCAACTTACTACTGGACTTCAACAAATATTGTGTTGCCCGCAGTGCTGTAGAAGCCTGGACTCTAACAAAAAAAAACGCAGTGGAAAAGCTCACAAAACCTTCTAGCATAATGGAAAGGAAGGATAGGAACTAAATATCAGACTAACAGATAAATTAAAATTTAGGTTATCTGATAAAAGACAAAAATAATGCAGATAATAGAACAAATAACATAATTAAAATAGAGATGAGTGGTCCACATCATGAGACAATTAGATGGGCTATAGAATAAGGAATTATATCAATGGCAACCTTGGATAAGAAATAATAGTACAAGAAGATAGTAAACTAGATGGACAGATGATTTTAAATGATTAGCAGGACTGGCATGAATTAGAATAGCACAAAACAGATTTGTGGAAGCAAAAAAGGGAGATCTATATCTTACAATGGATTTCAATGGACTAATAAAAAAGACAAAGAGAACAGATGGTTATATTGTAAATAATACTGCCAATTATAAGACATTTATATTTTGAAGTTTTAGAAGAGGTAGCTGTGTTAGTCTGCAAGTGTGTCAGGCAAAATCCAAAGAAAAAAGAACAAGAATTCAAAATAAAAAAAGGCCTTGTGTAACCTATTATATTTTAATGTGAATTTCTGTGGATCAAGTCCACTTCTTCAGAAATGTGGAAAAATAAAATGCAGAGTTCACAAGTAAAACATTCAAAACATTTATTGGTTTAAAGAGTTTGGAGTGTATGGTTATATCTCACATCCAGTAAATTATGACTTATGTTTGATGTTCAGTTATACTGTAAATATTCCCACAAGACACAGAAAACAGATAACCAGGAAACAGCAAAAAAAAAAACGGGGAAAGTGGAGATTGCAAACCTCCTAAAGCAAAGTAGATACATTTTGTGTCATTATGTTGATCCTGTATCCATGTTGAATATACTTAGGAAAGTGTCAGGCAGGTAGAATTCTATAGATTGGCATGTCATAGTGAGTATTCATTGGACAAATACTCCTAAGAATTGCCTGTCTCTGGAACACCAACCTATCTAGTGGTTCTTTGACATGTTGGATTACAAACTGAAACCAGCAATCAGACTGTGGTGTGCTTGTAGTCCAAAACATTTTGAGCCGATGTGTCAAGAGGAAATTTGGGAAATTTTCAAAAAGAGAGACATGTTAATATGTCTCATCAGTGAAGACAGAGAGAAAGAGAACGAATCTGACATAAGAAATGGCAGTATACAAACCCCAAAAGTTTTATGCAACTAGTCTTTTCAAATTCCATTATAAATATTAATAACTCATACTTTTCTATATCCCATTTAACTCTGATCCCACTTGCACAACTGTTTTCAATGTGCATATACACCCAAGGCTGAATAATGTATTCCAGGAATCTGAGGCACTGGATTCCCATCTTCCCCAATGATTATATTTTCAATGTACAGTAACAGAAGTTGCCATTGGCAGGGAGAACAACTGTTCTTATAGTTTTCTGATATGGAGGCTATGACAACACAACACTCTAACAATACATAATGCAGTAATTTACTTTTGCAAACAAAGT